GGGAGGAGGGTAGAGAAAACAGTGCAACAATGAATGAATGAAAACCCAAAATCTCTGTAAATGTTCATTAAAACTAATAAAATTTAATAAAAAAAGTCATCTCAAAAAAAAAGAGTAGGGTTGCACAGACAACATTAACTAATGTCAGTTAAGTTGTATAGTTGTAAAAAGTTGGATTGACAAATGCTGTGTAACAGATACATTTATAACAACAACAAAAGTGGCTGCTTAGCTATTTCTGAACGATCACTTTGGTATGGAAGTCTCAGGCCATGATTTCATACAGCATCCCAATTAATTGGCCTAGAATGTATAGAGCCTTTTTCTTGCCTCCTAGTTCAGTGGGTACTGCCTGAGGTCTAAAAGTTTACAATGGTTATCCAGGATACAACTGGTCTTTGTTCACCTGGAGCAAGAGAGGAAGAAAGTCAGGCATATGAGGAAGAAATGGAATGGAGGCTACTTCCTCCAAACACTAGAAGAGACCATGAGACCAGAGGAAGTCAATGATGCCCAATTACCACTACTAAGAATTCGATCCAAGATTATACAGGAAAATACTGAACAAAAGAAAGAAAAGTGAGAACATAATTTAATGGTCTCATGGAATCCTGCATTTTTGGAGCCACAGAAGTTGGATAGATGCCCAAAACTACTGCCCAAAGATAATCTTTAAACCTTGAGCCAAAATATTCCCTGAGGTCTTCTTAAAAACCAAACAGCAGTTTAACTTGTAAATGTCTCTCATATGCTCTTTAAAGATCTATTTATACGGGTTCAGATAACAAAAGCATCTCCAAAAGTTAGAGGCAATGAGCTTAAGTTAACGGGAAGGAACAACTTGGAAAAGGAGGGTTCATAGCTGCCCAGTATGAAGAATGCGATCAGTGTCACTGAATTGTATGCAAGAAATTGTTGAATTGGTATATATCTTCTGTGTATGTGCTCAGCAACAACAAAAAAATAATTTTTTAAAGGAAAAAAATCATATTTACTATAGTGTTACTTACAATTGCATACTCTCATAGGCTTTTAAGTCTAAATCCCTAAATCATAAAAAATATGATGCATCGCTTCATGTCATCACGACACCCTATCGAAGGAACCAGTCAGCTAACACCAGCCCTGGTGCCTCACTTTAATAGATGATATCGTCAAGCATCAAGCAAGAAGATTGAGCGGAAATTTCACAGATCATTCACACCAAGGAGAAAACAAAATAAATCTACAGTAGGATTGGACAGAAAAATAAAATGTAAAGCCAGTTGTATAGAAGGCAAGAACTAAATAGTTATGTTTCTTCTGTAATAAAGAGATACTGATAAGAAAACTCTCTCTTTGCTTAAATTGTACTTGGAATAAGACTGGGCATCAAAACATGTCAACATAATCTGGGGCACTGGGCATTGGGAGCATTAACTTTTAAAAAATAAGTTGTTGTTGTTGTTGTTGTTGTTGTTGTTAAGTGCCATTGAGTTGTAGATGACTCATAGCAACCCTATGAATGAAAGACCTGAAAAATTGCATAACTTTCATTGCTTCTCCAGGTTCATAGGGTTTCTGGAGGCAAGCTATTTCAGAAGTGGATGCCACTCCTGCTTCCAAGCTTGTTTAATCGGGGAGCTCCACCAAACACTGTCCACCATGGATAACCATTATTGCATTTGGCACATCAGTGTCACAGTGTTCAGCATCACAGCAACCACGAGTTACCTCTGCGCAGCAAATGGACAGAACAGTGTTATACAACCTAGAAGAATGTTTGACCAAAAACAATTAAAACTTCTGAAGCCACACAAATTTTCAAAGGCTGTAGGTCTGCCCATGCTTCAGGTTCTCATTGGTTCCCAGCAAGAGGCATCCAGCCAGCCCAATAGGACCCAGAGACTTTCCATACCAACAGAGAAAGAAAGTTAAAACTAAGTACTATGAGGAAAAAACAACTAAGTACTTTGTTATAAAATGTGGTATCTATAGCTACTGATTTATTTTTCCACAATAGAGGTTTTTCAGTGGTTTTGGTTGTTGTTGGTTTGTTTGTTTGTTGTGGGTTTTGTTTTTGTTTTTTTTTAAAGGGTTGGTTTTTTTCCCCTAAATCCTGGGCAAAACAAACTCAGGATTCCTTCTGAACACCCTTTCATTGATTGGAGTGGAAAACAAGATTGAGTATCTCCAGCTGGTTGGATGCCAGTGCTGTACTAAACAATTCTTGTAATAGTTGGAAGAGTTAGAACATTAATCTTGTCTCTACCCTTGGTAATGCTTTGCCAAAAGATCTCA